AGCTTCCTGTGGTAAGGACAGACGTTGAAGAAGATGGGCAAGAATCCATGAGTCTCCTGCAATGTCTATTTCTTTCTTGTGTGCACAGCACCCAAGTATTTTGTCTAAGGACACAAGCTGCCCAAGAATATTTCTTGCCTTTCACCTGGATATTGGAAACTCACATACTGATCTAAAGAAGTATGCCATTCCTTCCCCTTCTCCCTAGCCTGTCCCGTTCCTTCTCATCCTTCTTTCAAACAACACACCATGCCTAGTTCATGCTTTTTCATTGTGTCTGAAGTCATGTCCTGCCCTGCTTTGTGCTTGAGTAGCTCTCCTCATCTCTCCATCAATCCATTTCTCCCCATCCTCCTTAATGCTTCTCCTTTTCCCTTCCAGTGTTGGCTCTGGAACAGTCGCCAGACACAGTCATATGGCAAGGAGAAAAAATGAGTCTGACCTGCTCCAAAATGAATCCCTCCTATTCAACTATGTACTGGTACAAGATGCCTTTGGGAAATGGCTCTGGAATGATCCTAATGGTTACTGCAATAAAAGGTAGCAAAGCAAGTGTTGAAGCAGCATTCCAAAGCCACTTCACCAGCAGTGGCATACAAGGAGACGGGATGACCCTCTCGACTGAGGGTGCCTTTCTCAATGACTCTGGCATTTATTACTGTGCTGAAAGTGAAACACAGTGGGTAGGTTGATGAGGCACCTGAGCACAAACCTCCCCCTGCACAAAAGTGAACGACTATCCTCCTCCTCTGCACTGCACAAGGCTGGACAATACCTTTATACTTGTTTCTGTCTCTGCTCCCTAGACGTCCTTTCCTCCTCAGGCTCTTTCCTTATTTCTCTCCTTCCCTCTCCACTCCCTGTCTAACTCTTCCTTTGCTTTCATTTACATTATATGCACCTCTGACAATTGTTCTAATCCTCTCTGCCTCCTTTTCTCTCTCCAGCTTTTTTTCAGCTCTCTTCAATCCTCACTCCATACACTTCCCTTCTTCTTATTTAAGTCCACTTTTCTGGCTTCTCTCATCAAACATCCCTACTCTCCTTCTCCATTTGACAGCTTTCTTTTCAAAGTTATTATTTTTTTTCTCCTTTCTGTCCAATTTAATTCACTCCATACTCTCCCTAAAGGGACTGGGAATGAGTGGAAGTTTGGATACACAGCCTTCCAGCTCAAGCCTGTGCTTTCCCCAGTTTACTCCTTCCTGGAAACAGAGGGGACTTAGAGAAGTCGATCTTTACCAGCCAGATAGGAGGTAAGAGTGCCCAGGATCTGTGCAGTAGTGCTGGGTGGACAGAGGAGCTGTGCCAGGTACTCTAAGGGTCCATGATTGTATGTGTGTTTATGAACATAGAGAGAATTTTATGTGTGTCTTCACTAGTGAACCTCTATCTTTACCAGCCAGAGAGGAGCAAGGGAACTCAGTTGTCTGTGTCTATGTTTACATGATGGTGTGTAAATGTGGTTGAAGGTAGCCCTTAACCAAGACAGCGTGTGTGACCAGTTGTGTCAACATCCAGTCTCTGTGTGTGTGTATCTGTGTGTCTCTGGGATACATGCTCAGCTTTGCTACTGGTTGAACATATGAAAAAAGGAAAGCAGCAGCCATGTTCCCCAACCTGAGCAGATACTCTGGGTTTCAAGGCACTGGGCTGGATGCCAATGGCCAAACCAGAATGGTCCTTGAATTGGAGCAGCTGGAGGAGGTGTCCGTGTTCACGTCATTCTTCATTTCCACTTAAAAAGCACATTGGCCAGAGTTGTCCAGAGCCAGCATATGCTGGGCATGTTTCCACACCCTTGCCTGAAGTGGGAGCTCTGTTGGCTTGAATCCATAGACATTGAAGTTACCTCTGATCTCTTCTTTCTAAAGGGTGTATCCTGAAGAGAAAAGAAAGGGTCAGGATGTACTGACTCTCCAACATAACCAGGGTCTGATGAGGATTGGGTTAAGGATGAAGGCAATGCACATTATGCTGCTGAATCCTAGCATTCCTCTTTCCCTGGAGCGGGGGGAAAGGAGACAGAGTCGTGGCTTTGGCTGGAGATACAAATATCTGGCCAGGTGGTGTTGGGCATGGAGGGTTGGTACCAGATATAGAATTGAAAAAACCGCCAGGCAGTTGATCCTCATAGCAGGGCACTTCCAAATATGTAGTTATATGTGTCATCAACAACTTGTTAGGAAAAGCTAATGCTACTGAAGGATGTTCCCTCTCAGGCTTCTTCTTGAGGCTGGGATATAATTCCAGGGAAAGCCATTCCATTGAACGTGCAGAGTACTTGAGGGAAGCCATGAAGCTTATATAGCTTCAAGAACATAGAGCCCTATATTTAACAAAAAACTATTTACCTGAGACTAGATGGGAATACTCTAAGGTATTCTATTTTCATAACGGAAAGAAGATTCCCCAAGACACACAAATCTGTGATATCTTCCCTTAGCCTTCCAACAGGCTGTGCGGTGACTGAGATGGCCTCCTTCCTTAAACTACCTCCAGGTACTGCAGCTAAGTAGTGTTCTCGGGACCCTGCAGTGTAGAAGCAAGCAGCAGCATGACAGGGACACAACAAAGCAGGCCATCATTCAGCTTCCCCAATGCACCCACACTATATGTTCCATTTATTATTCACACAGTGTTTTTATAAACACACACAATGTGTGGAGATGTATGCTCACAGGATGTGGTCCAAGAGACGTATTACCCAGAAGACAGCACCCACACTCTTGCCTGCCCTAAGGGAGGATGTATCTTTCTCTTCCCTTGCAGTTTTTCTGATCTTTCTGTCTTCCCCAACTCCATTCCTTCACTTCTCTCCCAAGACCAACGGCCCCTCCCCACTTTACGTGCTGTTTCCTCCTTCCTTCCAGACCCACACGGTTCCTGTGAAGTTAATACCTTTCTCACAGAGCTGCACAAGCACTCTTTAATAGTCCCACAGTGCTTACTGAAGGAGGCAGACTATAAGGAGCAGCCCTGCTGTAGGCAATGGGAAAGCAGAAGTGTGGAGGTGCTCTTCTACAGGTGTAGTGAGAAGCTGATGACCCTCACGCAGAAGCCCTTGATAGCCCAGAGCAGGCAAAATGATGGGACACTCCCTGGCATGAAGATGGCATGAACAGCATAGGGCTGAGCAGAGAAGATACAATAGTGCAATCTGTGTGGCCAGGCCCTGTGAAATTTTGGGAAGTCAGATGTGGGAGAAATATTAAAACAAACTCCTTGTTTGCAGGCAAACTTGATCTCCAGTAGAAAAAGAGTGAGCCAGTGCATCCACCAGAACTGGTGCCCTTAATATAAGTACTTATCAGTGGACAAGACCCAAAGTTTTTGCTAAAGACAAACATAATTTGTAGGAGCTTTATTCCCAGTTACATGCACCTGAACAGGTTTCCCAGTCAAATTTACAGCATAAAGCTTCGCATAAAATATTGCAAATGGACTTCCTTTTTCCCAAGCTCTTGGGGTTATCTGAACTCTAATCAGTGCTATAGGTAAAACCTCTGTCCGTTTTAACTGTGTTTCCTGGCACAATTTCCTAACCTGTCCTTTCAATGTTTGGTTCATTCTCTCTACCTTGCCACTTAACTGTAGCTTCCATGGGGTATGTAGGCCCCATTTTATATTCAGTATCCTCACCAATTCCTTAGTAATTGCTGCTACAAAACGAGGTCCTCTGTCTGACAACATTCCTCCAGTACTCCAAATCTCAGGATTATTTCTTTTAACAGACATTGTACTACTTTTCCTAGTTTGGCTCTTCACAGGTTATCTTTTAGCCACACAGAAAAGGTGAAGGTGCCCCCCCAGTAGAAGTACATATACGTAACTATATTGGTTACACCTATGTAATTCAGAAAAACTTGCCAGTACTCACGCAGAGTGACTCCCTTTTTCACCTCTACAGAAGGAGGCTTTTTGTATTTCCAATACAAAGCTCACATATTTGAGTTATGCTCTTAGCAATTAGTAGCATTTTTTTCTCCAATGGCATCCCTTCTGACGTTTCCTACTAGAGCTTCCCAATGAAGTTGTGTCGTCCATTGTTTCATAACTACTAGGGTAATGTCCTGGATTCAGCTAGAAGAAACTTCCGCCTATTGGGTTCTGATTGGGTTCTGTGTTTGGGATTTAGGATGAGAATAATATTGATTACAGGCTGATGTTTTAATTGTTGCAGAGCAGCGCTTACTCTAAGCCAAGGACTTTTCGTCTTCTCCCACTGTCCTGCCAGTGAGCAGGCTGGGGTGCAGCAGGGGATGGCAGGGGACAGAACAAGGACAGCTGACCCAAACTGGCCAAAGGGGTGTTCCATACCATATGCTGTCACGCTGAACGATTAATATGGGGTGGCTGGCAAGGGTGTGGGGACTGCTTTTTGGGGATAGGATGAGCATTGGTCAGTGCAAGTACCTGAAGGAGCAAGTACCACACTGATCTTTAAGAAGAGCAAGAAGAAGGACCTGGGGAACTACAGGCCAGACAACCTTCCCTCAGTCCCTCGAAAGGTGATGGAGTGTATTTTTGGGAATGTATTTGCAAATTCATGAGGGCCAAGAACGTGACATGGAGTAGTTGTCAAGGATTTATGAAGGAAAAGTCGTGCTTGACTAACCTCACTGCTTTCTTCAATGAAGAAACTTGCTAATGTGACGCCCATCTATGAGAAGGGTCATAGGGAGGATCCAGGGAACACACAGGCCTGTCAGCCTGACATCAGTTCTCCTTGTGCCTTTCACTGACCCTTCTTCATCTGAGGATCGTGAAGTTGTGGTACACACCATCAGAATTTTCCTTCCTGGCATGAGGAGAGGCAAGTATCACCAGGGACAGGAGCACATTCCCACTTCCTTCTCTTTCCCTGTTACCAGTAAGATGTCCAAGGCAAAGGTCCTGCCAGTTTCAAGGAGGAGGGAAAGGTTCTGTCAGGAGGTCTCAGCGAGCTGAGTTTCCCCATTCGGGAGAGCCACGTGCATGTCCTTTTGTAGAGAAACACCTGAGGGCGCTGTGGATAGCACGTTCTCCATTTCCCATGAAAAAGCGAGCAGAGCAATAGGGAGCTGTCACTGGTAAAGCATGAGCAAACTGTACTATACAACCACATTTTATTTTTTATTTTTTTCTTCTACTGTCTGGAGCACACTCAGGCACCACATGAACCGTTAGCATATTCCTATCTGTCCACTGCCAGCCTCCCCTGCTCCACTCCCTTTTCTGCAGGGTTCATACTTTCCTGTAATAGCATGCGTCATTCCGCAGCATTCTCAGCCAGCCAATCCTTTCTCACTTTTCATGCTCTCTCATTGCTCTGCCCAGCCCCAGTGTGTCTCATCCTCCTTTAGTACTTTCTTGTCACATACCTCTGAGCAGCTACAAAGACAGGTCTCTGAAAGGAACAGGAAGGACAGGTGTTTTCACATGGTTTCACGCTGTTTCTTTGTGGCCCTTCTGGCCCCGGTGGGTAAGTGAACTCAACAACCCCCTTAGCACCTGCATAGATTCCCGTGCTGCTTGACTCGGCTGGATGCCTATTTCCCAAAGCTTCCTGTGGTAAGGACAGACGTTGAAGAAGATGGGCAAGAATCCATGAGTCTCCTGCAATGTCTATTTCTTTCTTGTGTGCACAGCACCCAAGTATTTTGTCTAAGGACACAAGCTGCCCAAGAATATTTCTTGCCTTTCACCTGGATATTGGAAACTCACATACTGATCTAAAGAAGTATGCCATTCCTTCCCCTTCTCCCTAGCCTGTCCCATTCCTTCTCATCCTTCTTTCTAACAACACACCATTCCTAGTTCATGCTTTTTCATCGTGTCTGAAGTCATGTCCTGCCCTGCTTTGTGCTTGAGTAGCTCTCCTCATCTCTCCATCAATCCATTTCTCCCCATCCTCCTTAATGCTTCTCCTTTTCCCTTCCAGTGTTGGCTCTGGAACAGTCGCCAGACACAGTCATATGGCAAGGAGAAAAAATGAGTCTGACCTGCTCCAAAATGAATCCCTCCTATTATACTATGTACTGGTACAAGATGCCTTTGGGAAATGGCTCTGGAATGATCCTAATGGTTACTGCAGTAAAAGGTGCCAAGGCAAGTGTTGAAGCGGCATTCCAAAGCCACTTCACGAGCAGTGGCATACAAGGAGACGGAATGACCCTCTCGACTGAGGGTGCCTTTCTCAATGACTCTGGCATTTATTACTGTGCTGAAAGTGAAACACAGTGGGTAGGTTGATGAGGCACCTGAGCACAAACCTCCCCCTGCACAAAAGTGAACGACTATCCTCCTCCTCTGCACTGCACAAGGCTGGACAAAGCATTGTACTCATTACTGTCTCTGTTCCCTAGACTTCCTTTCCTCCTCAGGCTCTTTCCTTCTTTCTGTCCTTCCCTCTCCACTGCCTGCCTCCCTCTTCTTTTGCTCTCATTTACATTATATGCACCTCTGACAATCGTTCTAATCCTCTCTGCCTCCTTTCCTCTCCCCACCCTCTTTCCAGCTTTCCTCAATCCTCACTCCATAGACTTCCCTTGTTCTCATTTAAGTCCACTTTTCTGGCTTCTCTTATAAAACCTCCCTACTCTCCCTGTCCATTTGACAGCTCTCTGTTCAAAGTGTTTTTTTTTTTTTTGTTTGTTTCTTGGTTGGTTTGTTTGTTTTTCTTCCATCCGATCTAATTCACTCCGTACTCTCCCTAAAGGGATTAGGAATGAGAGCAAGTTTGGATACACAGCCTTTCAGCTCAAGCCTGTGCTTTCCCCAGTTTGCTCCTTCCTGGAAACAGAGAGGCCTTACAGAAGTCCAGGTAGATGGCATTGGTTGGTCTTGTCAAAGTTTCTCTATCAAAGAAGGCCACTAGGTTGGCCAAGTACAATTTGCCCTTGATGAAGCCATGCTGGCTGTATCGGATCACCTCCTTGTCCTGCACATGCCTTGATATCAGTGAGTGGGGATTTCCACCCCGGCACCTGGAGTGAGGCTGTGGGTCAGAGTCTGTGTGCCTAGTACCAGCTGCTGGCGGTGGGTAGGGCCAAGTATCTGCATCCTCCCCAGCTTTACCTGTGTATTTGCTAGCAAACTTTAAGCTGGACTAGACAACAAATAGTAGAGGTCTCAGATCTAGGCTAGCTGTGGGTCTGTGCTGGTACTCCCAGGTGGACTTGAGAAAGTGGTATGCCAGAGGGAAAAGTGTGAGATTTTGTGAGTGTTTGCAGTGAACTTCAAGCTGGACTAACCAATGTGAGGGTGACTGTGGAGCAGGTAAGGGTGCCCAGGATCTGTGCAGTAGTGCTGGGTGGACAGAGGAGCTGTGCCAGGTACTCTAAGGATCCACAATGGTTTGTGTGTTTATGAAGACAGAGAGAACTTTATGTGTGTCTTCACTAGTGGATTTCTACTTTTACCAGCCAGAGAGGAGGAAGGGAAGAAAAGCTAATGCTACTGAAGGATTTTCCCTCCCAGGCTTCTTCCTGAGGCTGGGATATAATTCCAGGGAAAGCCATTCCATTGAACGTGCAGAGTACTTGAGGGAAGCCATGAAGCTTATATAGCTTCAAGAACATAGAGCCCTATATTTAACAAAAAACCATTTACCTGAGACTAGATGGGAATACTCTAAGGTATTCTATTTTCATAACGGAAAGAAGATTCCCCAAAACACACAGATCTGTGATATCCTCCCTTAGCCTTCCAACAGGCTGTGCGGTGACTGAGATGGCCTCCTTCCTTTGACCTAACTCCAGGTACTGCACCTAAGTAGTGTTCTAAGGACCTTGCAGTGTAGAAGCAAGCAGCAGCATGACAGGGACAACAAAGCAGGCCATCATTCAGCTTCCCCAATGCACCCACACCATATGCTCCATTTATTATTCACACAGTGTTTTTATAAACACACACAATGTGTGGAGAGGTATGCTCACAGGACGTGGTCCAAGAGACATATTACCCAGAAGACAGCACCCACACTCCTGCCTGCCCTAAGGGAGGATGTATCTTTTCTTCCCTTGCAGTTTTTCTGATCTTTCTGTCTTCCCCAACTCCATTCCTTCACTTCTCTCCCAAGACCAACGGCCCCTCCCCACTTTACGTGCTGTTTCCTCCTTCCTTCCAGACCCACACGGTTCCTGTGAAGTTAATATCTTTCTCACAGAGCTGCACAAGCACTCTTTAATAGTCCCACAGTGCTTACTGAAGGAGGCAGACTATAAGGAGAAGCCGTGCTGTAGGCAATGGGAAAGCAGAAGTGTGGAGGTGCTCTTCTACAGGTGTAGTGAGAAGCTGATGACCCTCACGCAGAAGCCCTTGATAGCCCAGAGCAGGCAAAATGATGGGACACTCCCTGGCATGAAGATGGCATGAACAGCATAGGGCTGAGCAGAGAAGATACAATAGTGCAATCTGTGTGGCCAGGCCCTGTGAAATTTTGGGAAGTCAGATGTGGGAGAAATATTAAAACAAACTCCTTGTTTGCAGGCAAACTTGATCTCCAGTAGAAAAAGAGTGAGCCAGTGCATCCACCAGAACTGGTGCCCTGAATATAAGTATTTATCAGTGGACAAGACCCAAAGTTTTTGCTAAAGACAAACATAATTTGTAGGAGCTTTATTCCCAGTTACATGCACCTGATCAGGTTTCCCAGTCAAATTTACAGCATAAAGCTTCGCATACAATATTGCAAATGGACTCCTTTTTCCCAAGCTCTTGGGGTTATCTGAACTCTAATCAGTGCTATAGGTAAAACCTCTGTCCGTTTTAACTGTGTTTCCTGGCACAATTTCCTAACCTGTCCTTTCAATGTTTGGTTCATTCTCTCTACCTTGCCACTTAACTGTAGCTTCCATGGGGTATGTAGGCCCCATTTTATATTCAGTATCCTCACCAATTCCTTAGTAATTGCTGCTACAAAACGAGGTCCTCTGTCTGACAACATTCCTCCAGTACTCCAAATCTCAGGATTATTTCTTTTAACAGACATTGTACTACTTTTCCTAGTTTGGCTCTTCACAGGTTATCTTTTAGCCACACAGAAAAGGTGAAGGTGCCCCCCCAGTAGAAGTACATATACGTAACTATATTGGTTACACCTATGTAATTCAGAAAAACTTGCCAGTACTCACGCAGAGTGACTCCCTTTTTCACCTCTACAGAAGGAGGCTTTTTGTATTTCCAATACAAAGCTCACATATTTGAGTTATGCTCTTAGCAATTAGTAGCATTTTTTTCTCCAATGGCATCCCTTCTGACGTTTCCTACTAGAGCTTCCCAATGAAGTTGTGTCGTCCATTGTTTCATAACTACTAGGGTAATGTCCTGGATTCAGCTAGAAGAAACTTCCGCCTATTGGGTTCTGATTGGGTTCTGTGTTTGGGATTTAGGATGAGAATAATATTGATAACAGGCTGATGTTTTAATTGTTGCAGAGCAGCGCTTACTCTAAGCCAAGGACTTTTCGTCTTCTCCCACTGTCCTGCCAGTGAGCAGGCTGGGGTGCAGCAGGGGATGGCAGGGGACAGAACAAGGACAGCTGACCCAAACTGGCCAAAAGGGTGTTCCATACCATATGCTGTCACGCTGAACGATTAATATGGGGTGGCTGGCAGGGGTGTGGGGACTGCTTTTTGGGGATAGGATGAGCATTGGTCAGTGCAAGTACCTGAAGGAGCAAGTACCACACTGATCTTTAAGAAGAGCAAGAAGAAGGACCTGGGGAACTACAGGCCAGACAACCTTCCCTCAGTCCCTCGAAAGGTGATGGAGTGTATTTTTGGGAATGTATTTGCAAATTCATGAGGGCCAAGAACGTGACATGGAGTAGTTGTCAAGGATTTATGAAGGAAAAGTCGTGCTTGACTAACCTCACTGCTTTCTTCAATGAAGAAACTTGCTAATGTGACGCCCATCTATGAGAAGGGTCAAAGGGAGGATCCAGGGAACACACAGGCCTGTCAGCCTGACTTCAGTTCTCCTTGTGCCTTTCACTGACCCTTCTTCATCTGAGGATCGTGAAGTTGTGGTACACACCATCGGAATTTTCCTTCCTGGCATGAGGAGAGGCAAGTATCACCAGGGACAGGAGCACATTCCCACTTCCTTCTCTTTCCCTGTTACCAGTCAGAGCTCCAAGGCAAAGGTCCTGCCAGTTTCAAGGAGGAGGGAAAGGTTCTGTCAGGAGGTCTCAGCGAGCTGAGTTTCCCCATTCGGGAGAGCCACGTGCATGTCCTTCTGTAGAGAAACACCTGAGGGCGCTGTGGATAGCACGTTCTCCATTTCCCATGAAAAAGCGAGCAGAGCAATAGGGAGCTGTCACTGGTAAAGCATGAGCAAATTGTGCTATCCAACCACTTTTAAGACACTAGTGATGTCACCGACTGCATCCTAACTGTGTCCTCCATGCCCCTCTGTTGGGCAAGCTCAGTTCTGCCAGAAAAGAAGACCAGCTTCGCTGGGGTGATTCACAGGGCAGAGGGGACATTTGCAGAGATGGTCTCAGTCCTCAAGCACTTCTTGAATTTGCCAAAGTGTGCTTGTGAAGCAGAGCTGCCAAGAGGCAACACCTAACTGAGATGTCCAGGGCTCCCCACCTGAGTTGCAGGTCCCAGAGAGAAGCTGCCTCTGAAGGAACCTGGGCTACTGCCTGTCAGCAAAGAAGGTAGAAGGAGAAGCCTCCCTGTGCCTGATCACAAGCACCTCCTCTCCCTCATGCCTTTCACTTTTGTCTGCACTCTTTATTCTTTCTTGCTCCACATGGCAGAGCACTGACAGTACCTGAGCTCTGCAGAGGCATTTGGTTTTCTTTCCCGTTCCTCTCCTCAGCTCTGTGGGACCAGGACTGGAGGGAGCACTGACCCATCCCATGCCTTACATCCGCATCACAGGGATCACTGCAGCAGCCTGAGCACTTCCAGCTCTGAATGTGCTGTGACTGGCCTGTCTGGAGTGCGCAAATGCACAGGACTCTGAGCGTCTCTTGTCTCTGCAGTCCCTCTGTGGAGGGAACAGGTCTGGGGAAAGCAGCCAGGGAAGGGGGTTGTTTGTTTCCTGCCCCTTCTGATCCCAGGAGGAGAGATACTGTGTGGGTCAGATGGGACTCC